AAAAAATCTCATTTTTTATAAAATATCATATATAAAATATTATATATAAAATATCATATATATTAGACATAAAAGAATTTCTATTTTTAATAAATTATCAATGAAAATTTTTTTAAACGAATTTGAGATTTTTTCTTTTATTTATGCATTGTATTGATATAATGAAATGACGAAAAAAGCAGTTTTTTAATATCCATGCAACGGTAAAAAAAACAGTTAATAACGTAATGAAAAAAGGAACATGCAATTATAGATGCGTTCATTCCATTTTCTACAAAGAGAGAAAACGTTATATCAGTCTATTTCTTCTTAAATTCGCATTTTACGTCTTTCTTCGATCATTTTGGATGCATGGTTATCCCTCTTATATAACAAAATGCATATAATTACAAAATTAACTACTGCATACATGATAAGTAATATGAAGGTGAAATATGGGCATCGATAAGAAATGAGTCCAGACGTACATGTAACGTCTTCTCAATCAGTGCTTAATTACTTTGTTGCACGAATCAACGCAGGACACGTCCGTATATATTTCTATAAGCACGAATTGCAAAGCTGAATCTCATAGATGATTATGTTGCTATACGACGAAAAGAATGAAATGTAGTTAGACATATAATGTAATAAATGAATTCGTAACAATAATAAAATAAAAAAAAAACTCTTTTTGTTTGAATAATTATACAATGATATTTTTATACGTCTAGAGTAAAATGAAGCTTCGAATCTAAAAACTAAGTCACGCGGAATTGCGTGCATTACAGTCGCGAATTAATATTTCATGTATAGCCGTTGTTATACTGTCATTGTTATATGATAAAAGCGTGATTATCGTCACATTCTCGTCGTCTACGAAAATCCATTTTTTCTACGACGAGTCGTCCATGTCTGAATTCGCTTTTACGTCGACTCGACGAGGACTGTCATGCCGTCCTCGCTTGAAAATTTACTCACAGCGGCGGTGCATGGGATATGTTGCATGCCGGTGTGTTGGTGCTCTTGCTGTGTGTCTTGCCATATGAATTGTCGGTTTTTGGTGATGGTGATGGTAGTTAGAATTTAGAGTCATTTACGTTTGTCACCTTGATCGAGATTCCACTGTCATCTTCGTCCTCTTCGGTCATCGTCGTCAGTCTCGTTGTCTCGTCGGCTAACAGCGAGTTGTCCTTCTTCGGGTGCTTCTTTTGTTTTCCCACACTGTGCGCCAAATAATTATATAATTAGTTCTAACAGTTATAGGCAATAGTCTTCATATTAATTTCTGCTTTCCCTGTTTGAGAAATATCACAATTTTAATATTTATTGTTAAGAAAATTTTAACACTGAAATAGGATATCTCTGACATTTTTGTTTAATAATATTTTAATAATTGCCTATTTGTTTCCAATCGTCCTCCTCCTTTTCTTTCTTTCGCAACATCTCAATTTTACGTGAAATGTATGAACGCAGTTTGCATTGGGTTTATATGAATATGTAAGCGTAACATATTTGATCAATCATTGATACATCATCATCACAATGTTGAAAAAGGTTTTTTGTAGAAAAAATCTTGCATGCACACTTTAAAACCAAGCAAAAAATATAAAAATAATAAAACACACACACACATAAATATAAAATATAAGGATTAAAATATAATATTTATTGTAAAAAAACATTATTATCGGAAGAAAGATAAAATACAAATAAGAAAACAATGTAATGATTTTTATTCTAATTTTTATATTATATTTAGTTTTATATGTCTTACTTTACGTAATCTCTGCAAGGATACGTACAATTATTTAAAATTCGATACCTACTTGATTAGTGATTTCGATTGCTTCGACTTTTCGTTGCCTTCGTTGACCTGTTGCCAGATACCGGTCTTATTCACCTCCTCGCTGATATTGATACTTGCCAGAGGAATCTTCATAATGTTCCCGTTAGCCAAAGAAATTTGAATATTTCCCGGTCCATATCCCATCGTCTCAGTCGGATCCTGCGGAATGAATTAAAAACAATAATGTGAGTTTCGACGTTGACATGCGATTGGTTTCTACCAGAGGCCATGCATAAATTCAAGCAAACTTTGCGTTGCCTTTAAATTGCTGGGAAGCAGGATACGTTGCTTGCCAGAATATTTCACGAACTAGTCAATTATACGCGACAATAAATTATAGATGTATACAAAGAAGTAATAATAATTAATGACAAAAGAGCGAACTTGCGTGTAACAGTAGAAATAAATTCGCAAGAGTATGACTGTTCGTGAGTAGATAAATCTAAAAGAAAAAATGCATCTGGAAAGTTAGTGCGACGGGCCCATGATGACGATGGAATCGGTTTTGTGTGATTTGAAAAAAATGATTCTCTGAAATAGATACGTACAAATGTATATGTATGTTATAATGATTTTGCTCGCTTCGCGGGGATATAATCGATGGATATTATCAATAGGATGTTATCATTCTGTCCGCGCATAACGATTGAGATAGCGACAACATTGATGCTTATACTTTAAGAAGAGAGCATTAACGTTTACAGGTATATTAAATTATCCAGAATGAATGAATAAAAAAGTCTGCGTATGCACATATTATTAATTTAATATCTATCGATATTCTTTTGTACTTGATAACACAAGAAAATTAAAAAAAAAAAAAATATGATGATTCATTTGGATTCTCAACCAAGTATAAGCTACAATAAATTCTCGCTGTCGTTATGTAAAACGTGGAAAATTTATAACATGCCATTACGATTGATTTAGCGGCGCGTGATTGATATGATTACATCGAAACCATCCGCCGCAATCGGCGCGTAAATCTGTTTACAGGATTGTTAACATCGCGAAAAGTGCCTGTCTTTGTTGAGTAACATGTAATGGGGATAAGAGATTATATAATAGTTCGCCGAATTTATTCGCTTATTGATAAAAGAATATATATGATTGTCACTATGCGGCGAAACTACGGACGTGCACTTATAGTGACGTACCGATGACAGGCGGAGGATTCGACGACTGACGGTTTTTTTCGTTTGCGATTTCCGTACCGATATCCCGTGTTTGTCCGGCTTGTGATTTCTTTCGGTCGCTCTCTCACATTTTCTCTCGCTGAATCGTCACTCTCCTCCGTGAGTCATGGTGCTTCCACTCGGTTATTCCGTCTTTAATTGCATTGCTAACAACGAACGCACAGCTGTCGGCTGTTATACAGTGCGACGACTCGTTTAATCGTTCGTTCGCGTTAAGAAATACGTAATTAGAACAAGTATTATTTTCTTATTGATATTATTTTACCGCATTGTATGAATAATTATACACATGACAGTTGCATCGTTTTATTTATCAAGCTGGTTATGCTGCTTGTTTCTATCCTTGTACAATTTTCAAATTAGCATTATGTTAAATTTGGTGCAAAATTTTTTAATTAATCAATTGAGTTTTAATGCAAGTTTTATCGAAAATCTTCTAAAATTGCGAGACAAAATTTTAACTCAGTTATTTATGTAAAAGATCGTGTTTTCTCACTATGTGTGTCATCCATTTCTAACATTAATATCGCGAAAAATATTTCGAGAATTAACAGAGTTAATCTTGGAGAGAATCTTCTCCTGATAATAAAATTGAGCGTAGCAAATATGCGAATTATTATTTCTACAGTTTAGCTTTTTATTTAAAATGTGGGTATTTTAGCACGTTAAATCTAGTTTACATTTAAATTATAAAAGTAAAATAAAAATAAAATAAATTAAGTGTGCTATACATATAAACAAATAAAAAAATTGAAGCAAAGTTATGTAGCAAAAGAATAAGGCCAATTATATAAAATACATACATAAGTAAATTTAACGTCACTTATTATAAATATAATGTAAATACTACTATTGTGTACTTTTCTTCATATTTTTTCATTGTTATATTAATTAATAATTATTTTCAAATTATCAAAAGTCTTAATACTTAATTATTATAAGCTTGAATAGAAAAGCTCTCAAGCAAATAAATTATGTGAATCGTTAATTGTATTTCAGGAGATGTTGGAATTATAAAAAGGTTCCGTGTGTTTCGAAACAGTAATGTATTTTTACATGATAAGATAAGTGGATTGTATGTACGATGGCGCATCGAATCGATACAAGAATCTCGAATGGTCCACAGAGAGAGATATCAGCGACTTGGCGATATATTAAATGCAGGAGACACTTTCGTTTCACCAAGTCGTGATATCGATTGTGATGCATCGATCGCTACTCGACAAATATCTTCGTTGATACCTTTCGTGGAAGGTCGACAACCTGCTATATGTTTAATAATATATATAGTCGATTATAACTGTGGTTATATTAAAAAAAAAAAAAAAATCTGATCGCGACGTAGTAAATATATGTATTCTTCTATGATGAACTGATCGTAATTTTATTTATTTTTTGTGTAATTTATTGTATTATTGAAACATAATATAGAATGATATAGAAGATACATTTAAGTCATTCAAATATACGAAAGAGTAAAATATTGCTTACCTTACAACAATAATTTTTCTTAAATTAAATGTTAAGCATAGTTTATTACAGTTTGAAATATCCTGCTTGTGTTACATGGCTATAACATAATATTACTCATTTTCGCGATTATATTACATTGTAATAATAAAATATAAGGCTGCAGTTTTTTTATATTTCTATTTTTTAAATTTAACTAAAATTAAAACTAGCAAACAAAGAGCATTATATCGTATATCCTCATGAAAGACATTGTACGTTGTTAATGTGTTCATCATAGAAGAATAATCGGTAATCTGGAGCAAAATGTGTTGCGCAAAATAAAATTTCGGGCAGCCGTCAACGTGTTCGAGAAGCGCTCGCATAAACGATCAGCACTCAACATATTATCTTAATCTCGCTACAACAACAATGCTATCGATACAAATATTTAAGACTGCGGTATCCAAAAGTCTACCGTGTTCAAAAATTCAACAACGATTATCATTACATTTACTTTAATACTGGTCGGTCGCTGATAAGCCACCTGGATTTAAGGATTGTTTGGCACATGTGCTGGATGGAAGACGAGAGGATGGCTTTCGAGACCGAAATCTTGGGTCGTTGAAAGAATATCGGGTGAAAAATTCGCCGCGTAAAAATGTTCAGACAACAAGTATTTCCGTAAAATGGTAAATACTTTCGCGCTTAAAAAGAAAAGTTTTGTGGACTGAAAACAGTCCCTATGTGCGTTTTCAATATTTTGGTTTTCAATATTATGATACCATTCTCGTCGTCTTACGAGGTGTATTCAGGCGATGAAGCGTCCTTTGCGAATTTTTCAACCAGAAAGGAGTAAAGAATTGTTTCGATGCGATAATAATTGTAAAAAGTATGCGTTTTGCGTAGAAATATATATATATATATATATATCACAATGGTCCACCCGTTTTTTTTTTTGAATTATTAAAGGCTGAATTGGCTTTTTTAAAATTTTCTGCATATATATGATAATGCACTTGAAATTAAATTATATTCTAGCTTATGTCTTTACTCAAATCTGGTATCTGCGCGGCGACGAAAAACTGATTCGTTTTAGGTGACGTGTCGATCGCACGTCGTGGTATACACGTCGTTTCTGCTGCAAAGGGCAGATTCCTCAAAGTCGGAGAGAGTTATAGTGACTACGGGGCAAGTAATCGCCACGCGATCACTGTTTATATGCTATTTGTGACAAATGATGGCGTTTAATATTCGTCTCGCGATGCTAACCTCGCCGTTCTCCAGTTTGCGAAGATCGTCGGCGTGTTTCTTGCTCGGTTCCGGCATTACGTCGTCGAGGATCTTCAACTCGCGTTGCGTAAACATCAGGTCCAGGGATTTACGTATACCGATCATTACCACGAGCTGCAAAATTTATATAATATATATAATTTTTCTTATATACTCTGGAAAGGTTACTTGACTTATCTGAAAGATTAACTAGTTCTAGATTTTATAACAATATAATCGACTGCTTCTTTTCCATTCGTAAAATGCAAATTAATGTTCTAATAGCTGTTTCTAATTATTTTAATATATGTTTTAAAATTGTGAATCGATGGATCCTCTCAAACCAATTACTCACCATTAAAGGAAATAGGATAGAAGTAGAACTGAAAGATTTTATAATCCATAAACAGGCGAGGCAGGTAAGCTGGATCACAGTGAACATATGTACGCGCTTCAATGGCACCTAAAAACACATACTTGTTTTAAAATATTGGAAATATAACAGCTTGGAAGTAACATTTGACTGCTATCAAACATCTCAAATTTAAATTTTTGGAATATGTTTTATTGAAAAGAAGATATATACAAAACAGACAAGCTGAGAAATCAAATTTATCTTTACCTGCCGAAGGAACATGTAGTCTGGTTGATACTTGACGGGCATCAGCATAATCAGAATTCTATCGAAGAATTGCAGACCCTTCAGCGACGCGACGCCCATGTACAGGAAGACACCGAACAACACCGGCATCGGTATGTTCCTCAACATTGGTGTTAGGAATACCGAGCATCCGATCATCAAGAAAATCAATATATGAGTAGCCCTCTGCTCGCGGACACCTAAAAACCGGGGCTTCTCACCCGGCGCGGCGCACTCGGATTCCAACTTTAAGGAATTCACGTGATTTATGGAGAGGACCGTCGCTGCGACGAACCATGGAAGTCCCATTACCGAGCATATCTCGATTAGAATAGCCAGGATAAAGAGGTCCAGATGATATCCGCATCCTTTCTGTAAAAAAAAAAAAAAAAAAATATTGACCAAATTATTGATCATTGATACAGCGTCAGTTATACTTTATTATTTAAATTACTATTTAAATATGCGAAAAAATTGCAATATGCTCTTTTATACGACGCATTTATACGAGAATAAATAGTTTCAACAAAGTGTAATAATCGCTCACCTTTAACTTGTTCTCTTTTCTATTAACAATAACGGCTGTAATTTGCTGATCCATGAAGATCAATATAGTGCCCAACAAAGCGGGGAGACATGCGACGATAGCACTCCACAACGGATTATGATGAAAAGGCGATATAATCCATCCTCGTCCCTCTAATGTTGGTTTGAATTCCGTCGGTACCTCCAGCTTCGGCGTTGGAATGCCCACGAAATGATCCAATGTGCTCATAGAGAATATCGCGATTAATACTGCGAAGTCGCTCACCACTTGTCTTACCTAAAATGATAAGAGAATGTTAAGAAATAAATTGATGTAACAGATGTGAAAATAAATTATTGGATTCTCGATATAAATAAGAAACGTAATGATCTTGAGATATCAACGATTAATAATCGCTACAAAAATTTTAAATATAAGAATAATGATGAATTTTGAAATTATTTATCTTCTAATTATCTTTAATTACAAAGATAAAATTTTATCCTTTGATACGTCGATTATTTCCAAAATTCTTTAATTTTACTTCACGCTTACCTTCGAGGGAAAGAATAAAGCGTTCTTGAAATCCTTGAGCTCGACTGACAATAAGAACGTGCCCATAAATAGAATAATTGACATGAGGAACACATCGGGTACATAATGCGGTGCATTGCAGCCGTCGCCAACCATCGTACCATTATAATTCTGAAAGAAGCAATAATGAACCGATGCCAAAAGAAGACGCAGTGTTGGATCGCAGGCAAGGGCGTATTTTCTCGCGGATTCAGAAACGCCTAGTAATCTAGTTGCTCGCAGGAACTTGTAATTTCTTAGGAAAGTATATTAGAAAAAACGTGTGTGTTTGATCATTGTGATTGAACGTAACGAGACGTTTGTGTGTTCGATGTTCCTTTCACGTTTCTTACCGTTCGCGATTGCAGACGTCGAACGAGTTACTTAAAAGTCTACAATTTTTATAATGAGACATACAAAGCTACGCTGGCAGACTAAAATAAAAGTTACACTTTGATAACTTTGTTGACAGAGTTTATTAATTAAAGTGCATTCAACGTCAGATCTCAAAACTTGTAATGCAAGGAAATTGTTTGTTGCCTTCTAACTAAGCAGACGAATTATAAATAAAAAATAATTACGTGTTATTTTCAATACCTCGCAAGCTGTCGTATCCAATGTTGACCAATTCATGTTGTCATAACTGGATGGTAGACTGATGTTTGGTGGTTTGCACCAGCAATCGTAGTCCAACGTTTCACTCGAATAGGTGTTCAAGGGATATTTCTTGCCGATCGACAACACATTCTCGACAGCCTAAAATGATATTGATACACTTAATAATGAATTAAATAGATAATGATGGAATATTATTACCTAACATAACATTTTCTAATATGAAAAATTTTTATTAGTGTGTAACAAATATGATAATAAATTATTTTCTTGTTTTTCTAATTTATATAGTAAATAATAGTTTAATGCTAAATTGTGGAAAATTCGAATAATCTTAAAAATCGCGATGACATTATATACATATATGAAATTTGGTAATAATATAATTTATATGAAATATATACACTCTAAATCTAAGAATTAGCCATTTGCTGATCTAATATTTTATCAATTAAAAACAAAACATAGACTTTCAAAAACAACATAACACGTGCATAAAAAAAAAAAATTATTTTAATATGATGAAAAGAATATCTCGAAAGATTTATTGATGCAATATTCTGTTCACAATATTGATAGACAGTGGTACGATTTTTCTCACCTTGTAGATAAAGATGAAGGCGATGAGAGTGGCAAAATTCTCCTCTGTAAATCGAGTGATGTAACAGACGAAAGCACTCGCGTCAAGAGCCACGAGAATCATTAGAATCACGGCGGTCCATGTGCCGATCCAGAAGCGAAAGGACATGTAATTCCAGTCGACCTTTCTGCAAGAAGAATAACGATCTGACCAGATTATCTCGAAATCCGCGAAGAAAGAAAGTGTGTGTTACTGAGAAAAAATTTATATTTAATACTCTTTATATCTATGTTTATCTTCAAGTTGTGATATGGAGGGTGTTAAATTTTAGAGGCGATTTATCAAACGTCACCTGTAAGAAGCTATTATCAGCAAGACCTTAGATATCAATTTCTGTTGAGACTTACTTGCAGAATTCGTAAACGATTGTCTCGAAAACCAAAACAGGACCGGTAGAACCGAGTATTGTTAACGGTTGGCCGGAAAAGAATCCATATCCTATGCCGCAAACGAAACCGGAAACCAGCGATTCCATCGCGGCCATGTTCTTCCCGGTAGCCTCGCCGAGGAGTCCACCGAAGGTAATTATAGGTGACAAGCAGGCGAAGTACAAGAAGATGAAGGAGGCCACGCATTGAAGCGCCAGGGCATCTTTGAAATCGGATAAATAAAACGGAGCTTTCCTCTTAACATCGTTAATCAATCCGCCGAATAGTCTTCCGGACCTCGAAAGACCGGACTCCTCTCTCAGCTTCTGTTCGTCAGCCTCCTCGTCGAAGTCTTCCTTAGGCTTTTCCTCCTTGGGCCTCTTCCTGATTTCCTGAGGACGTCGAATTAAGCCGCGATTGAGAAGAAATGAATATTTTTTGAACGCGTACGTTAAAATTGAAAATTGATATCAATTTTAATGAGTTCAATTCTCTAGATGTTATAAATATGCAAAAAGGAATATTTTATGATACTTGTTGCATCTCCAGGCATTGTTGTTAGATATTGTTGCGTGTTTATAACATCAAAAATTGAACTCGTATTTGAAAAAAATTATATATCATCTCTTATTCCTGTTTAATTCCTATTCTCACCTGCGACGGTATAGCGGCCGGCGGTTCTATTCGGATTGTCGGATCCCATTCACCGGGTGGTAATACCGTCACGGCATCCAGGAACTCGTCGATACCAGATAAGAGATGATTTCTGTTTTTTGCTTTATACGCCACGTCGTGGAAAATTTCGTCGGACATCAAGGTCGCCATAGCCCGACCGATCTCGTGGAAACTCGAATTGCCACTCTAAGATCGATTCATGCAACGTGAAATAAGCGAATATTATAGATATTATAATCTCGTCATATTATCCAATGTTATATTTAATTAGAAATGAAGACTATTTTATATAAATAATACTAACATGTTTGCGTGCATTGTTTTTTTTTACTTCTGATGATTTGCTTTAATACTAATATATTTTTTTCACACGAATGTATGCATTTTTTACGATATTTTATTCTTTTTATCTTAGACATCATTGATACGCAAACATACGAAACATTATTTTATAAATAGATTTAATTTCTTACACATCAATAGCAAATGATAAAACATTTAAATTTACAAGCAAACATATACACATGTCCGGGATTGTGTGGAGAACAAAATCATCGCATGTTAAGATGTAATAAACCCGCGATCGTGTTTGAGTTGCATTTGCGCCGAACTTAAATTACTTTGCATATAGGTCTTTCGAGACAATAGTCAGCAAACGCAATCAGCATGCATGGCTGCTTTATTGAAGGTTTAATTGCCACGTTGTGTTAGTAGAAGCGGCCTTTTCGGCGAGCTTTAAATTAACGTTCAGATAGACGTGCGAATATATATATGTAAACGCGGAGAGAAAGAAGACCTTGCACAAGTGGTTTAAAGGCGGTTTGAACTAGTTATACTCTTTTTTTAGACCTCCATTCGAGGTCGAGCGCGATTGTCTGTGATGAACCGTTGATATCAACTGTAATTGCCGAGTAGATATTGATTCGTGCGGATAATTGACGATTCAGAAACATGTCAAGGAATTCGTTAATGGCTATACTACCGCACTTGTATGTACGGCAATTTTATTTGATATAATCACAGTCGCGCGAGCGCGTTTTATTTGCACGACTTGATGACGTGCGCTACATTGACGCGTTTTGATATTTCAAACACCGCAAACACCTTCGCCTCCAGCAAGTGCGTTATAATTTCTCCCGAATATATGTGACGTCCATATAGGGATCGCGCAACACCTTCAAATTTATAGCATTTTAAAGTAAGTCGTTTAACTTTTCTAAAGAGACTGTGGGAAAACAATAATAATTTCAATTATTTTGCTTTTATAGAAAGCATTTTTCCTTACGATCTACGAAGAGAGTAGGAATCGTAATAAATCGCAGATTGATCGCATTTCCATTTGTCTAACTTTATATGAAAAGAAAAAAAATTTATAATAATTGTGAGATTTTTGGTCAGAGATGGCAAGAGAAACTCGAAAATTTGTAGATTTAGCTGGAATATTGCAGAGTGCGAATTAAACACGTTTTGTATTATTCTCGTATATACAAAAAGAAAAACAGAAAAAAAAACGTGCAATTTAATTAAAAGCAAAATATCTATCGCATACGATACCGTACGCGATAAATTCTCATTTTATCATAACAATTCCAGCACAGTTAACGCAGGAGTTTCAACGAAATAGTACCAGAAGTAGATCGCGATCATATTTCATTTTTCGCGTTTTACTCGCATGGTTTGTAATCTCGATAGAGTTCTTACCATAGGTCCCAGAAGAACAAAGATGAATCTCGTCGGAACAGGAACTTCTGTCAGGTCACCCATTATCCCAGCCTGGCTTAGTCGGATGAAGGCGGACAAAGTCTTGTCGAGGAAATCGACCTCACCCACAAGTATGTTGCTCGCTTCGGCGCCGGCTGGTATCTTTCTCATAAAGTGCGTATTACCCTAATGAGAAAATAGAGTTAAAGTTTTTCAAGTTAAGCTCTGCTCGCGTTACTTAACGACGGACCGACCTTAATATTAAAGGGGAAAAACTCGAATAAAATATCTTTCCTAAAAAAAAACGAGATTTCTGGACAAAGTTGGAAAATAATTTCTCGCTTATCTGATATTATTGTTGGAAAATAATCGAAAAATAATTAGGCAATTATGATAATCACATTCTATATTTACAAAGTTATTTTGTATATTGCATAACTTTTTTCACAACAATTTAGTTATAATAATCCAAAGCTATATCCGATAATTATGATTAAAACTCTATAAACGTCTTTAATATTATGAGGCATTACGGTAATACATTACATCTATAATTATTAGAGATTTAATAGCCAAATAAAATATATCTACGAACCTTGTGATTAGCATCTCCATTTTCTAATGCGGAGGAGCTGTGATTCCTGGTGATGGACACGCTGCTGGGACTCCGATCTATACCGTTGCTGCCTGGTTCTTGACCTGAAAGAAATCTAGCTTACTGCCTACTGCATTTTTACGCATAAATTGAATCGGTGCAACCCCCTTGTCAGCGTGCGATGAAGAACATGATTTTAGCCGCCCATACGTCATTAATCCTCGCACGCCCGAATCAAATTGCAATTTCGTGCTGCTCGAATTTCATAGCCTCTCGTTTTCGCAATTAAAACAGTACATTCTGCTTTAAGATAGTCTTCCGTAGGGTTAAAAGGATGAGGACGTGTCTTTATCTCATTAAAATAAAAGTAAAATTTTACACTTGCCGCAAAAATTTATGAAATTTATTAGTATGTTTGCGAAATAACAAAAAGGTGAGCGAAAATTAAAAAAAAAAAATTGTTTTGTATTTATAAACGCGGTTATAAATGCAAGACCTTTTATTTCCGCAGAATCAACGTAAATTTTAAAGACAACGGATTTCTGTTCTTAAATTAAAACAATGGTAATTAAAGTTACAAAACTAAATTTGCCATTTATGACATTTACTTCAAACAATATCTATAGATAAAAGTTTCTTTCTGAATAAACAGCACGGTTCACAAAGCCTCGTCTTCATCAGATTATAAAATAAAACTTGCATTTTTAGTGATAAATGATACAAGATAAAAATATTCATTAAAGATATTTTTAATAGATACGGGAGAACGTATATTATAGCGATTTTCAACTACGAAATGCGAAGATATTAATTATTATGCCTGCATAATTGCAAATAATCGATAATCCGATATATAGTATTTCATTCTGCTCGCAATAATCAGATATTGCAATTTTACATTACTTTTAAATTTCGTAAATTAAATACGCTATCGTCTCTATCTATCTCACATTATCTCGAATTAAAATTCTCATCAAGTGAAAGATTAAATCTGTTATGTAACAAAATAGCAGTTTAGATCATCTGATCAAAATCAATAATAATCGAGAAAGATATATATATATATCATTAATTATAACGATGCAGACAGATTAAATTGCATCAATATTGATTATGTGATTATATAATCGCGAAAAATAATCAGCCACATTAATTTATTTGTAATCGAATTTTAATCTTGTATCTTGTCAGTGCATGAAATCGATATATTATTTGATTAAATAAACTTTATTTGATCAAAGCTTGTCGTACTAAACAGAGGGTACTATTCTTAAAGTCATACTCGACCTTTCCATCAAATGTTACAAGAACGATTATTAACAACTCTTTGCAAAGATATCTCATCGTTTCTCCGACAGAGTCTTATCATAGAGAAGAGACCGAGATAATACAAACTCTAGATTCCATAATTATGACATGTGCTCAGACATTTTTCTTGATTGGTCCCTTCGATCTTTAATATATGACTTTGAAATATTTTCATTGAAGTCTTTTCGCTTTTTAATATTCTTTTCAGTACAAAAATATAAATAACATTTATTGTTCATTTGTCGTATATTTATATATTTATATAAAACAGTGATTTTTGATGAGAAATTTAAAAAATATATTTTGTTCTTTTTCTTTGTCAACTAATTAATCTCTAGAGAGATTATCCCCTTCAATTATATAACAAATAATTTTATAATTAGCACGCAAATATTTTTCATGAAAAAATAACTAAATTACGGGAAATTGCCTTTAATTTTTACGTCGAATCTGACTAGTTTGACGAAGTGGCAAGAGGGGATAATGACGTCTGGTGCGTTTTGCGACACGGCCATCGTTATTCCCAGTAAAGACCCCTCGCGGCGCGATAAAGATAATTTGTCGCAAGCGAAACGAAGTTCGTTAAATCTTCCGCGTTCCAATAACAGGCTGTTCCGATTTCACAACTGTTTCTCATTTGTCGCGTGCACACAAACAGCGCGAATAATTGCTACTGCAAATTAATCTACGTGTACGTGTGGAACTTCACTACGGATTAATGTAGGTTCGCGAGTGTGTGAAAGTGTGTGAGTAGTAAAGCGAGCACAGAAAAGCGGTTTACCGGGATTGCCAGGTATCGTAAGGAAGCGGCTACCAACATTCAGCGTTGCTCCACTGCCATGACTTGTTGCGCCGGCGATTGCCGGAGCGGAATTCGATTCCTCCACTAAAAATGAGCATGAAACACAACACCAGGATCGTCTTTTATTTACAAAGGAAGGTGCGATAGGCAGTAGAGAATGACTTGTCGTCGTGGTAATTCGCGAGCGTTTCAATCTCCGAGTCCTTAAAATGTATAGCAATATATTTATGACATAATAAATGTGATTATTTATATAATAATATATATATATATCATCTGTTATATATAAATTATATATATACACAATTTGACATATTTATTTATCATCGCGCAAATAACTTGACGGCAATAGCTGACGGGGGGACATTCGTAATCGAGATTAAAAATAACTGCCTCATTGTATGCATCAAAGCTTTCAATCTCAATCCTGAGATTTGATCTGGAGAAAGAATTGTCGCGTGCGAATAGTTTAGTTCCGGAATATTTAATATACGCGTGTTGATCGTATCGTGAAGAGAGAGATAATTATGCATGCAATTGTTTCTATTTTTAGATTATAAAAAGCGCGTGCGAAACGTCAAGGACAAGCATGGCGACAATAAATTATATGACGTCGGGAAAATTTCTCGAACGATTTCATCGCAAGCTTTACCGCGTTTTAAAATGTCGCTTCATTTACATATATTTGTCAGCATGTTTCGCGACGGTCGTAAAATTCAAATAACTCAGAAATTCTCTCCAAATTTGGGAGATACGTATAAACGCTCCGTTAATTTCTCGAAAAATTCTCAAAAATATAATTTTTTCATGATTTTGAACACTCGCAACATTTAACTTTAATCGTCTTACGTTTTACGAAATGTGTTTTAAAGTAATGACATTGAAAAAAATCATATTTATTTTTGCGTGTTATGTAAATAACGAGTTACGAGTTAGTTAGGATATTGAGAAGATATTAATTACTCGATTATAACACAGAGTCATAAATGCACTATTGTATAATAAATATAGTATAATAGATAGGGTTTACATCGAATTACGTGCAGTTAGTACGATCACAACGAAAGATCCATGCCTCGTAATTGTAATTACAAACGTTTTGGCCTACGTTATCAACGAAGAAACGTGCATGTTGATCAATGTGGATAATGAGACCGCGAACGATGAGTTCTCTAATAATGTCACGTTCGCTCGGAAATCCATAATTTGTAAACGTGTTGGAATACTCTGTGTTCTCATCGCACATTTAATGTGGTTTACTCAAATTGTGAACATTTAATATTAATAGGGAACGATGATTAGACATTCGCATTTAATGCTAAATGCGTAGTGAGAATACAGATCATGCTCGAAAACCGCAATTCACTTCTCATAGAGTTGCTATACCACATGAGATCAGTAATCATGATCAACTTCATTTCCGGCGTGAGTGCTGGGAATAACCAGAACATATCTATTGTAGTATTTGAGAGATAGAATTGGTCGCTGCAGTTGCAACCATAATATGTCAGACGTACTGCCTGCTCCAGTTAATTAAGTCTTGCGCTCTCTATAAGGACACGTGTTTATAGAAAGCAGCAATTAGTATCTGTCATAAATTGAATCAATGTTATGTGAAAACAATAGCAAATTGTTTAATTCTCGTACGACTAATATTATCTTTTACAAGATTCCCGTATCGCGCATCGCTACATCAAGTTGCGTCCTTATAGTTGAAATTCTTGTGCACTTTATACATTAAACAATCACAGTTCCATCGAGATAGCTAAAATAATAAAAGACAGGATTGACGAGAGACCGGAATAAGTTGTTTCCGCCGTGCGTCGATCACGGATTTACGTGGTAAGGCACGAAAGACGATAGAGAAGAGACTTTAGAATAGACGAAAGATATAAGTGAGAAAGTAGAATTTTTTGTGCAGATTCGTGTAGAATCGAGAATAAACCACCTGGCAAGCTAACCTTTTAGCGGACACATCGCGAACCACGTCGTGAATCCCACCACGTGGGGTATGCCAAATTCGTCTAATAAAAGAAAAGAAACGCTGGTAAGTTATAAATTTTCGACCGGCTTGAGCTCCGGAGAACAAAGGTGGATGGATGACACAATGAAGACGATGAGTGGTCTTGACGATGCCAAATATATTTTACATTAATAATTATTTAACAAGACAATCACCAAGAGAAACATCAGGCAGTTGGGAAATGACCATGATGGCTAGTAAAATTCAATGTATTATGACGGATCCAACGACGATCGAAGTTACCTTGATCCTCGCTTGATCTTTTATCACCCACTATGATACACAATCATATGATACTAGTTATAGCTAAATGTATCGTTTGCCTCCCAAATTTATAATGTTATCACAAGCTGTCATTCTAAGAGTTTATTCAAGAGATATTAATGGTAAAATGGAAAAATTTTGCCAACTTTTTAATGCAATTAAATAAAATATATTTATATATCTTTGTATTAAAATTAATTTATATATCTAGATTTCTTTTATTGAAATATCGAGATTTAAAAAAATCAAGAAAATATTCGACTTATTAAGTAACGAATCTCAAGATTTATCGAAATTGCGAAGTTGAATAAACTGCATGTGTTTTTCCATTAATTTTGCGGCAAAAAATAAAAAGCAATTGGAAATAATTTGCGAGGCTGTCGATACACGCATGTTGTAGTTGTTAGTGGGTTGTTCCGGGCAGGTGTGGTTAGAAAAGCCACGAAAGCACCGCAATCCAAGGCTGCTTAGCGGGTGGACTGGCCTAAGTTGTACCTGGAACCAGAAGGTACGGCCCTTTGAGGTCTTTCGCCTCTTTCGACAGCGGCGCCGTGTCCGAGTTTGGGCAGCTGCTGCTGCGGGCGACGGAGGGTACATAGGCATCCTTAGGACGCTCCTGCAAATCTGACGTCAACAAGGCATGCATACCACATGAACAGTCGCAATCTGAAAATGTCGATTGTATCATACGTGTTTTAGCAAAGTTAGCACGCCCTGGGATCGAGGAACCCGGACTCTTTCGTTTCGCCACCGCCACACCGGGGTGGTCTTTAACGAAAAAATGCAGGTGAAAATAAAAACAAAATATGAATTAGAAATTAAGAAAAATTAAAGTAAATTAACTTGAATTATAACGGGGAGCATAGACTCTTAAGGACCCGATATCAAATATTTACAAAAATAAAATATTCTACAAAATAAAAATTTTGATATGTTAGAAATATTAAGAAAAATTAATTTAATTTTAGTGTTTTTATAATGGAATGTAGATACTTAATTTAATCTCAAATGTAGGAATCATTACAATTTTATTATTAAATATTAGTTCGGGCCATTAAGAACTGTCACAAAAAAATATTAACTTAAATACAGACTAACAAGGATAACAAAAATTACGATAAAATATAAAAAAGCCTTATTTTATTTAAAAGCTAATGTGATTAAACATAATAGTAAAAAAATATAAAACAAAATATAATATTACAAATAATTATAGAATAATTAATAATTAAAGAA